GGGGGGGTGCTGTTGGGGCTGGGGCATTGAGGGTATTTGAGGCTTAGACGGGGAGAGACAGAGAGGTTTGTAATCAGGAAGGGGGATCGAGGGGAGATAGGCAGGAGGATGGAAGGTGAGGAGGATCAGATCAACCATTGGATGGCATAGCATACTCAGTGGGCTGAATGGTCAGCTGCTGATCTTACACCTAACGGTCTTGTGTAGATATGAAGTCCAGGTGATTACTGTCAGTAATGCTGGCCCCTCAGGACTGGCTGAGAGAAGTGGTGAGCGAAAGGTGTGTTACTGAATCAGTTCCTCTCTGGCTGTGGGGGTAAAACTGTGTAGCTTTCTGTCCCTTAACCCCACACCACTCCCCACAGCCTGACTATGCTGTGTGCACACCAACAATGTACTGTTCAGCTGCAGAGAGCTAGGGCAGGGGTAGGTTCTGGTGAGTCCTGAGGTCCACCATCCCTCAATCACGGTCTGAACGCAAGCTTAGCTCCCTCGGAGAGAAGTCATCAGAGCGAGGCTCAAGGAGCTTTGAGTGGGTCTGTACGTTTGAATACGCATGACGCGGAGTGTCTGAAATAATGTTTTCAGAGTTTGTTACCCCCCTACTCCCTCAGTCCCTAGCCACCTGCTATGAATGGCAGCAGGTTGACGTTTACCTCTCATGCTGTTAACCCTTTCTTTCCCCACAGGTCTATCCTGGCCAATGTATGGATGTGGAGGAGTTCTACGTTAAGTACAAAAACTAGTAGGTCACATTGTGTGTACGGTTCACCCTCATTTTCACTCCTCTCTGTGCCCCCAACTCTGTCTCTGTGTCCCCCACTGTCTTTTCCTCCCACCTTCCCTTCTCCTCTGCCTCCCACACCCCCATATCTCTGTCTCGCTCGCACTCTGCCTCACCCTCGCCCTGTCCCGTCCTTCTGTCCCTCTCTACTGATGTGCAGTCTCTTTCTGTTCTAGTTCCTACCTCCACTGTGAATGGGCCTCTCTGCAGCAGCTTGAGAAGGACAAACGCATTCACCAGAAGATCAAACGCTTCAAGGCCAAGATGGCACAGATCAGGCATCTTTTCCACGAGGTGGGTCTTGGTACACCGCCCGTTTTTAAACCCAACTCACCTTCCCCCTCAACCGTTGCTGAAGTAACCCCCACTACCCTACTTGATGTCTGTGTTACCCTCCCCCACGCCCCACCAGTCAACTGCCCTTGTCCCATTGTGCTGTCTCTGTTCAGCAGTCTGCTCCCAATATCACTCCGTTATATCACGGCTTATATCTACATAAGATGGAGAAACGAGAGGAGGCCACTCAATAGTGGCTCATCCCATATTCCCTCCCAGCCTCAGAAATAAACCATTTCCTTCTGCCTCCTTGAAAAGACAGAAGGAGTGGAGTTTGATTCCAGACCATCTGAGAGTAAAAGA